CAACGATTATAATTGTACTAAAAATAATCAAATAATGAAACATAAAATAATATACGAAACACAACAACAAATTCACGGCAATTATCATAAAAACATTGAGAAAAATAATAATTAAAATACAAATTTGTCAATAATTTCGTATAAATTAAGAAATCAAATCTATATATCGATTGCAAACAAAAAACAAATTCAATTCAATTCTTAAGCTATAATTTGGGCCAAACGTTAGACCCGTTGCTGTTGCGACAGAAGGGATGCCTTCACGTCATCGGTAAACTTGCTTAAGAAGAATGGATGAGCGGTGAGGGCGTCGTGAGTGGCCAACACTCCCAACTCATTCGTGTGGTTCACGTCCTTATCGTAGAGTAGGTCCGCGCCGAACACGTCCGTCAACCGGCCGCCCAAACTCTGAAGCACACCCTCCGGCGCGCAGGTGTCCCACTTCTTGCAGCCCCGGGAGGGGAACACGTAGGCGTGCGCCTTGCCCTCGATCACCAGGAGCACTTTGTGCCCGGCGCCGCCCACTCGCAGCACTTCGTCCGGTTTGATGGCGTCGATGGCGGCGTTTATGGTGGCACTGCTATGGGATCGGGTGGTGGTGACTATCACTTTGCCCACTGGGGGCTGTTTGTGCGTAAACCCGAACGCGCCCAACCCTACCAGTCCCCATATGGTTCGACCCAATTTCGAAAAATCCGTCTCTTTCTGGAGGGGAGGAAGTGATTGATGTGTCAAACAGTTCCGGAGGAAGTATAGTATGATTTACTGATAACACACCTCATAGTTATAGAATGGCTGATGAATGATACCACCGATCGCCCGGCCCTTCACCGATAGGCCTATAAGTACAGTCACGTGATCGAGAAGTCCTGTGGGTTTGGATCGGAGTTAGTAATTGGCTGACGAAGTGGTGAATCAATTACTGGTGATAGTAATCATACAAACCCTGAGTGTATTCGGAAGTGCCGTCTAATGGGTCGACCCATACCTGTGTCCACACGAGTGAGTGAATCAATGAATTAAAAGTTTACAACAAATAGACTCTTAAGACATACGACAATATCTTCGTCGGTGACATTAAGCCATTCTTCGGGACACTTATGCTTAAACACCGACTCGTCATACGTGGTGACCATCCAGTGATCCTCGATCTTATCGTTCGGATCCAAAGTCTATTCAAAAGCAACACATAAGCCATTAAACCGCTGGAACCGCTCGACTCAATCCGCGGCCACAAACCTCTTCGCCGATAATCGATATCTTCGGGAACTGTTTGGACAGCGATGTGATGATACAGTTCTGGGCCCTCCTATCGGCCTCTGTCTGCAAATCGTTGATCCCCTGAAACGCCACGCGATAAAGAGATACAATCAGTGGATCCGTGGATCACTCGATGGTCATAACCAGTGGTTTTCATACCTTATCGACGACCCCGAGGTCGCCCTTCTTCATCACATCCCGCACTATAACTCCGGCCTGTTTTGAGATGTTTATGGATGAGGCGATTATCTTGAGCACTAAACTGTTGGACATTTTCCACAGCATTAGTTAAATGAAGTGATAATTAAGATGAAATAAAAAGTTAATTAAAAATTGCAAAAAACTAATCAAACAATGGTTTCAAAGACTTTAACCACTCGTCAGCTAATAGTCAGTGCGAGAAATCACTGCTATATCTAGTGATCACTGGTTGAAGAGGCAATGGTTTTTCGCACCGTTTATTCGCGTACTATTGCCACCTATTGGTGACATACACTCACTGCTAGTGCTATTCAATAGTGTTAGTCACGGTGTTTGACGGTAAGTGGCGCTACCATTGCCTCCCGTTATAAGCAATCAGTCATTTCGTAGCATTTAATACGAGGCAACGTTAGCGCCAATGCGTGCGAAAGTAGTACTAATAGTATAGCACTTTAATTGAGTTTACTATAGCCTGACACTAGAGGGCAATAGTGGCGACACATGTCTCGCAGCGAGTGTCCGATGCATTGACTGAGCGATTGTTTTGAAAGTGAAAAGCAGTGCTGAGAGAGAGTGTCATCTGTTTTATGCATTAGTCGTAAACATAAATAACATTACATTTAACGCCAGTTTGCAGTGAATATACAGTAATAACACGTATTCCCAGTGTTTAAGCAAACAATGCATTAGTTTTGGATGTGTTTTAGTGAATCGCTATTTGAAAAGCCGTTTACCATTAGCGCAGATAATCGCGAGACTCGGAGGAATAGGTGACGGGATAGAGGAGTGATAATCGGGGCGACGCTTACCTGTCATCCGAGCCGAAGATGTGGTCGTTTTGGTCGAGAGACCCGACGAAAGACTTCGGGTATGAGATGCAAGACATCGTCACCACTGATGACAAATCCATTTGGTGTCTGCAAAACGCTAAGAAAAAAGTGATTATCATCTCAGAGGCGATGGCAATGACTAGTCGTTTGGTGTCATGACGTGTGTGTCTGTCATGTCATTGAGCGCTACGATTGTCTACTCATTGCCATTGGTTTTCAAGTACTTCTTGTAATGATTTGTGTGTTTTCTTCTAGTCTTCCGGCGAATTGGTGTCAATCTTCAGGTATGAACTGAAACCGAGTGGTGATAATCACGTCGATAGAGCCAAGAATGCTGTCAAACGGCTCAAGACGTTACGGCACCCATCGATCCTCACATACGTCGACTCACTGGAGGTCTGATTGCTTGTGATTTATGGCTATATATTCCTCTGGATGTGTTTAATAACCGTTTTTCGTACGACCGGACAGTCCGACAAATATGTATATGTGGTGACCGAACACGTGGTGCCGTTGGAGCAGTACTTGCAGTCCATATCCGACTATACGCTGCAACAGAAACAGTTGGCCATTAGTTGGGGTGTACTTCAAGTGGCGGTCAGTTGTTTGGATCAATTGTCTTGTATTTCTCACTCAATACTCACGTGGTTTCTAAACACTTTACAGAAAGGACTGGGATTTCTCATAAATGACTGCAATCTATCCCATAATAACATATCTATGCCATCAATATATGTCAACTCCGGCGGCGTCTGGAGGATAGCGGGTCTCGAGTACGTGTCGAGCAATGCGGACGACTCGTACCCGCCCACCAAAGCGCTGTCTTTTCAGCACAAATACACGCCTCCCGAACGGACGGACACTACGCGCCGACAGAGCGGACCCAAATGGTTGTGTCCATCCGTTTTGTGATACTCGGGTGACAGTTGTCTAACTGATTGTTACGTGTGTTTTCAGGTCCGCCGACAGTTGGGGTTTAGGGTGTCTTATATGGGAGGCCTTTAACGGTCTGTTACCCGAAGCGAGTAAACTGAAAACCCTGGGAAAGGTATGCGAGATATGAATGAGTGGTGTTTGAGATAAGCACTTGATTTATGAGTTTTATTGTGCTGTGGATTAGATCCCGAAGTCATTGACGACGCCATACAAAGAACTCATTAGCAATAGTCCCGGCGATCGGTTGAGTCCCACGGACTTCGTGACCAAATGTCGGGCCGCCAACGGGTTCTTCAAAAATAATTTTATCGATTCGATGCTATTCTTAGAGGAAATACAGGTTTTGTTGTCCGAAGATAATCACTATTTGTTTGAATGGTTTTTTTGTTTAATGAATGAATTTGTGCTTCAGATTAAGGACACGATCGAGAAGAACAGGTTTTTCACGAATTTAGACAATCATTTGGATTCGTTTCCGAAAGACATTTGCAAGAATAAGATTTTGCCACAACTGGTCACCGCCTTCGAGTTTAGTGCCGTCGGGTCAGCCATTTTGGGACCCCTTTTCAAAGTGATTGCAGAGTTTTTTTTAGAGTTATTGACTCGTTTTGTGCATTGATTTTCACATTATTTTTTTTCGTATCAATAGATCGGCAAATCGTTAGACGAAGAGGAATACCAGAAAAAGATCGTTCCCTGTGTTGTCAAACTGTTTGCTTGTAAGGACAGGGCTACCAGGGCTAAGCTCTTACAGCAGGTGCTCTACCAGTGACACCGGAATCCATTGAATTGTCTGTTACTAATGATTGCCATTCATTTGCTGAACAGATGGAGTCATTCATTGGTTATATTCAGCCGAATGTCGTCAACGACAGTGTCTTTCCGCACGTGTGTCAGGGATTCCTGGACTCCAATCCCGTCATTCGGGAACAGACTGTCAAAGTAAGCTCACTGTCATTGAAAACTGCTGAACCAGTGCCCTAACACACGACCTACCGTTCCCCCTCTACTCCCCAGTGTATGCTACACATGGCCTCCAAACTAAACTACCATAACCTCAATGAGGAGATCATCAAAAACTTCGCGCGCCTACAGGCCCGGGACGAGGAGGGCGGCATACGGACCAACACGACGGTGTGCTTGGGAAAGGTGGCCAGTCATCTGCACCCGCAGACCCGGCAGACGGTTCTGGTGCCGTCGTTCCTGAGGTCGATGCGCGACCCCTTCCCCCCGGCCCGCATCGCCGGCATACTGGCCCTCTCGGCGACCCAGAACTTCTACTCACTGCGCGAGTGCTCGACGCGTGTGATGCCGGCCCTCTGCCACCTCGTTATGGACCCCGAGAAGCAGGTCAGGGATCAGGCGTTCAAAGCGCTCAAAGGGTTTGTCAGCAAAATGGAGAAAGTGTCGGAAGACCCGGCGCTCGCCGAACAGATGGGTTTGTGTTGACATTCATTTGATTAGCGTTTGACACGTGTCCTGACCTGACGGGCAGATTACCGGTTGCGGCCAGACATGTGTCGAACGCTATAGAAACCAATGATTTTTGTTTTGTGGCCATTAAGTGATAATTTGTTGTGTGTTTTGGTGTCCAGAGGCCGACCTGAACGCGGCGGGCAGTAACGTGTCGTCGACACTGGCGGCCAGTTGGGCGGGTTGGGCCGTCACATCCCTGGCCTCCAAGTTCTATCGCACGAAGCCGTCTACGGATCTCAAGGCGAACACCAGTCAGTCGTCGCCGCCGAAGGAGAGCAAGGAGACCACCGGCGCGGACGGTAGGGATAAGTCGGATACGGATAGACCGCATACGCCGCACACGCCCTCCATTCAGAAGTCAGAGTCCGGGGACTCGCAGCTCGACTTTGACGAGGAGGTGTGGGGGTCCATAGACGCGGACGCCAGTCATCAGCCCAACCCCACCGCCCGTCGCAAGTCGCTGGACGGCTGGGACGACGACGACCAGTGGAACGGCGATGAGTTCGGCGGCGAGAAGGAGGCGCCCGAAAAGGGGGCGAAAGTAGGGCCGGAAAGCGACGACTTTTTCGATAAGTTTACGAACGACTCGACGACCGCTAAGAAGACGACGGATTCGGCGAAGAATTGGTCGAAAAGCGAGACTAAGAGCGCGGATTTGACGCCGGATTCGAGTGATAATAGTAAGCCATCGGAGGTTAGCGGCGATGAGCAGCAGCTGAAGAAGGCGGAGGCCGAGCAGCGAAGGGCGCAGAGGAGTAAGGAGTTGGCGGAGCGTAAGGCGGCCGCCGGGAGGGCCGCCAAGAAGGGGCCCATGAAGTTGGGCGCCCAACGCATCACTTGACCCGTCATTCCCTTTAATTTATACTAATTTATAATGTTTTTCACGTCAACCGTCTCTCAGATTATGTTTCTCCGAGTGTTTATGAATCGATTCGTCGGCTTTTTATTGCATATTATTTTTCAAAGTTTTTTATTTTGAACTCAAGTTTTATTTAATTTGATTTGATTTTTCGTTTATTTGTTTGTGTGTTTCGGTGGAAATATATCGCATAAAGTATTTTAAGATTTGGATTTATTTTTAAATTAAATTATTTTTGTTTTTCATAAATTATACCGAATTCTGTACACCTTTTTTTGAATACATTTTAATAAGTCTACGAAATTTGCATTTGAATTAAATGTATAGAAAATAATTTGTCTACAAATTGTAAGTAAATATTTTGAATATAATATAATATGTGATAAAAAAAACTATTTGATTAATAAATTGAATTGAAATTAATTTAATTATACAGTTATTTAACATAATTAGTGTCAAGTGTTTTGTGTGTTAACGCAGAATATTCTGTACGATATTCTGTGTTGAATGAGGTATTCAGTAAATAACGTACGAGTGTGTGAGTGGATAGGGAGGTGGGGAAAGGGATGTCTGACTTTTCCACTAATCTTAAGGCTTTAGCTGTCAATCTCATTGTGGTATTAATCTGAAGGCCAGTCGTGTCTATCAGAGAGTATTGTATCGTATTTACAGCAATATATTTATAAATCATTTTGATTTGACTCTAACATCGAGTACTGGAAAGTAATTATGAAATATCTGTGGTCTCATGTCTGGTGCGATAGGGGGGAACGGGATGTAAGGGGACGGGCTATGTGTGTGTATGTATTTGCGAGGAGTTATGTTACGCAACGAGTCGTTAAGACAACACAACATATGAAGCAATGAATTGTATGTTTGATTGAAAATAAAAGTCTCTTTAAATGCAAAACTCAGATCACATGCAGTGATGAACACATAAACTGCCGAAAACACTGTTGTCTATCGATATGTGGTTTCATTGAATACAATAAGAAATTAGTGTTTGTTTTTTGTGTCACAATATAGTTGTTGTGTTTTTATTACTAATTAATCCATTGAATGATCCCTTAATTAAGAGGTTTCGCTGAAACACACGAATTGTATTGACTTTTAATATAAGTGTTGTATTTATTAGCTATTAATCGCTGATTAACATAGCGTTAAGTCATTTGCGAAAAAAAGTGCATGGTAAATAAATTTGGTCTCAATTTAAAAGGTTTGTTATTTTTTGTGTGTTATTTGCTTAAAGTTATTTATAATTATTGTTTTATTGTAACCTGATGCGATAAGCAAATAGACATTGTGTAATCAGTTTTATATAAGCCTTTTATTTAAATTAGTTTTATTTATAAATATTGAGGAAAATGTGTGGTTTAAATATTTGTCTTATAAAAATAACACTGGTAACATTTATTTTTAAAATACTTATTTATAAATCACTGGTAATTAGTTATGAAAGTAGAGGGGAATTATAATGTGATAATTATTGCTTAAAATTAATTGCAATTTAAATATTGCCGTACCTGTGCGGCTATTTATATGGATTACTGAATCTGATTACGTTGACCATGCTCACACTTGGCTAACTAGCACGATGTTGTGAATGATTGATTAAATTGATATACTGTTACGAGTTTGTGTTCACAAGTATAGCACCTGTCATATGGCATGATAGGCATGTAAATTACAAACTCACTGTATGTCTGGCATAGGAATATGCAGCCTGGTCATTTTGTCAATGCCATTACACTGCGGGTACGTAGCTTGATAATATGATAAACAATAATTTAATTAACTAGTATTTATTGTTTGTCTCTGTTTTTTTGAGTTGACATTTGTTTTTCATAAAAATAAGTGAAATTTTTTGTATTAATAGCGAAGTGAAGGCCAATGAGTGTCTGATATATGAGATAATGAAGTGTTAATAAGTGTTTGGACTAATTGTTATCAAATATTTATTTACTTAACAGTCTATTGGAGTGACAAAAGTCCACAAATGTGTGCCAATAAAAAAACCAATGAGTGTCTGATATATGAGATAATGAAGTGTTAATAAGTGTTTGGACTAATTGTTATCAAATATTTATTTACTTAACAGTCTATTGGAGTGACAAAAGTCCACAAATGTGTGCCAATAAAAAACAATTACATTTGTCCCGGAGTCAAAGTCTCCGGTGATTATCAGTAGTGTATCAGTCGATGGTGTCTGAACTCATATACACACCACGAGATTGTCTCTAAAAAATCGTGTGTTTTGTGAGATAATTGCGAAAAAAATTAATTTTTTTTCATTTAAGAAAAGTTTTTTAATAGCCTTAAGTGTGCGTCGAGTCGTAATCGGTTGATACAAAACAGGAAAAACTTTTGATTAAATATTTTATTTACTTTTTATTTGTTTTGCAAAACTTGTGCGAATATACTTTTCCATACATTATTTACGGGATTATTTTTATATATAAATTATTATATAATATAATAATGAATGTTAACGGGGTATTTAATTAATTGTACGGAAATTTATTGCTATATTTTATCTATTATTGATAGGTATCTCACGGATTATATATTCAATGCTATATTCAGTGATTGAATGTCTATTTGCTATAAATTAATAGCAATAAAGTTACTAATCGTTAACATTGAGTATACATTTTGCGGATTAAAATCTAATCTAAAAATATTTCGAAATATAAATATCGCTATATTTTCACTGAATTTAAGTGTTTTTCTCTCATATTTTGATTAACTTTTTTCAACAGAAAACTAATGATATATTAAACGGAAAGTAAAGACAACTGAGAAATCGGTGGTTAACTGATGGCTACGTTCGGGCGTTTACTTAGCCATAGAAATGGCAAACGTCTGGTGCTGTTGCCGGCGACCTACCGGTCACTACACCTGACGTACAATCGCTATAATGTCAACCAATTCGAGGTGAAGCCTATCAAGAAGGTGTTGGTCGCCAACAGAGGTATGCCTTTATATCATCACTTCATTTGATCCGATCATCAAAACACTAATACTTTTCACTATTAATGTATTAAACATTTCGATGACTGAAAAAATGGAAACACGTTTCTAATAACTATGTCTAACCTCCCGTTCCCTACCCAACCAACAGGTGAAATAGCGATCAGGGTGTTCCGGGCGTGCACTGAGCTGGGTATACGGTCAGTGGCCGTGTACAGTGAGCAGGATAAGATGCACATGCACCGGCTGAAGGCTGACGAGGCCTACCTGGTGGGCAAGGGTCTGCCCCCAGTGCAAGCCTACCTACACATACCGGACATCATACGCATCGCCAAGGAGGCCGACGTGGACGCCATACACCCGGGCTATGGGTTCCTGTCGGAGAGGTCGGACTTCGCGCGTACTATCGTTGACAACGACATGCGCTTCATAGGGCCCTCGCCCGACGTCATGGCCCGTATGGGCGACAAAGTGGAGGCCCGTAAGGCGGCCATAGAGGAACATACCGGACATGGAGTCGACCGCGACGTCCACTATATCAGCGCCGGCTTCGGCACAGCGCAGCATTGAGGCCACACCGGCGCCGGCCGTGTCGTGAGTATGTATATGAATGGGCACATCGGGGTGTCTGGAGCGGAGCGCCTCCACCAACATCGTGGCCGCCCTGGGCTTCAGCAAACCGGCCATGTCTTTGATGCAGAGCACGTGAGTGCCGGCGCTCACCAACTTGTCCGACAGATTCACATAATAATCCAAATTATATTTCGTGCGCTTCGGGTCGGACACGTCGCCCGTGTAGCTGATGGCGCCCTCCACGACACCGCCCGCCTGCCCGGCCGCCTCCATACCCACCAGAATGTTGGGCAAGTAGTTCAACGAGTCGAACACCCGGAACACGTCCATACCGGCCTGTTTGGCGAGCTCGCAGAACTTGAACACCACGTTATCCGGGTAGGAGGTGTAGCCGACCGCGTTGGCCCCCCGGAGCAGCATCTGGAACGGTATGTTCGGCACCAGGCGGCGCATCTCGACCAGCCGTTCCCACGGGTCTTCGTGCAGGAAGCGCATCGACACGTCAAACGTGGCGCCGCCCCAGTTCTCCAGCGAGAATAGGGGGTGAAAGTGGTTGGACACGTGCTCCGAGATCCTCAACAGGTCGTACGTACGCACCCGTGTGGCCAACAGTGACTGGTGGGCGTCCCTATAGGTGGTGTCCATCAACAGCAGCCCCTTATGATTGCGTACGGCTTTGGCGAAGGCCTCCGGGCCCTCGTTATCCAGTATATGCTTCCAGCCCTTGGGAACGGTATGCCCGCGAGTCTTGTCCACCGGGGGCACAGCCGGCACAATGTCCGACGGCTTGAGTTTGGTGGCCAACACCGTGGACGGCCCGTTCACCATGAGGTTGGCCAAGTAGTACAGCAACTTCTGGGCCCTGTTCTGGGAGGGCTCGAACTTGAACAGCTCCGGGTGGGTGTCGATGAAGTTGGTGTCGTACGCCGTTTTCAGGAACTTGTCGTTTTCCAACACGTTTAGGAGGAACGGTATGTTTGTTTTGACGCCCCGGACCCGGAACTCCCGGAGCGCGCGATTCATTTTGGCTGCGGCCGACCCTATGCTCGACGCGTGGGCTATCACTTTGACGAGTAGGGAGTCGTAGTAGGGGCTGATGATGGCGCCCGCGAAGGCCGAGGCGCCGTCCAGTCGGATACCGAACCCCTCGCCGCTGCGGAATACCTGTCCGTTTAGAGGAGTCTATTAGTAAGCGTTTTGATGCTTAAAGACTGTGTTATGAAACATGTTTTGTACAGAAATTAATGGTTTTTTGGGGTAAAAGTTAATTAAGTTTTACATTAAGTTTACATTCATTGCAAAACTCGATAATGAATTAAACTTTAAATTCAATTCAATAGTTAATACCTAAAAATTGCTAATATCTAAACCAATCATAGTAATATACTGAATATTTAAATACAATTAACTTAATCATATTTTTAAAGTTATTAATTATAAATTCTTAAAATTCTATACACTATCTGTCATTTCCCAGAATATTCTCCATAAAAACAACAAACCCTTAAATGCCACACATTTAACCCCAAACCACGCGAACCCATACCTCAATCCTGCCGGTGTCCGGTTGGAAGCCCTTCGCCGGATCCTCAGTAGTCACCCGACACTGGATGGCCGTTCCCTCCACTTTAATATTCTTCTGTTCTAACCCCAAGTTCGGCAATGAGTTCCCCTCCGACACCCGGATCTGCTTCTGGACCAAATCCACGCCCGTTATCTCCTCGGTCACCGTGTGCTCCACCTGTAGCCGCGCGTTAACCTCAATGAAATAGTAGGTGCCGTCCGCGTCCAGCAGGAACTCCACGGTCCCGGCGTTCTGGTAGCCCACATGTCGGGCCAACTTCACGGCGTCGGCCAATATCTTCTCCCTCACCACGGGATTCAAGTTAGGCGACGGCGCGATCTCTATAATCTTCTGATGCCGGCGCTGTACCGTACAGTCCCTCTCATACAGGTGGACAACATTGCCGTAGTTATCGCCCAGAATCTGGACCTCTATATGACGGGGGTGTTCGATGAACCGCTCGATAAACATGGCGCCGTTGCCAAAAGCGGACAGGGCTTCCGAGGAGGCCCTCTCGAAGTTCTCCACCAGTTCCTTCTCGTTGCGCACCACTCGCATACCGCGACCCCCGCCGCCGTACGCCGCCTTGAAAATCACGGGCAACCCGTGCGTCGCGACAAACTCCTTGGCGTCCTTGGCGTCGGTGATGGGCCGGTCGGTGCCGGGCACCACCCGAACGCCCGCCTCTATGGCCGCCTTACGGGCCTCCACTTTGTCGCCCATACGGGCCATGACGTCGGGCGAGGGCCCTATGAAGCGCATGTCGTTGTCAACGATAGTACGCGCGAAGTCCGACCTCTCCGACAGGAA